ATACAAAATAAAACTGATAAATAATATTAAAACATATTATTAATTAAGTTATTTATATAAATATAATAGAATAAAATTGTTTAAATTTCGTAAATATCCTTTTTTTTGTGATTTTACATATTTATTAAATTTATTAAAATTTAATAAATATGTGAAATAATTAATATAAAATATATAAAAAATTAATTCATACATTCATAATATGTTTTAATAACACATCATTTTTATTTTGTATTTTTCATAGTTTTTAATTACAGATTAGATATTTACTTAAGTTTCAACGATGAAAAAACTGAATAGAGTCGCGACGAAATTGCCAATAAATTAATATTAGTATAATTAACGACGATAATTAAATTCGTAAAGAAGAAATGTAATGCCACGGGGCATAGAGTACAAATTATAACTCTGGATGATGCCCTGTAATATTTTATACTTTTGTTTTCTTGGAAACTTCAGCATAAAAATTATGATCGGGAGCAACGCCCACGGTATCACGATTTGTGATTGTTGTCGTGCAACAACTAATCGCCCGAGAGATGCGAAAATTATTGTCTTCCAGTGTACAAATCACGGCGATTGACCTGAAAACAATGCTTAGCCTTTCAAATCTCATAAAATTAAACAATATCTGTTATAAAATATGAATATAAATATTTACAAAGTGTTTTAATTGATATATATTTCGTGTGTGTGTGTCTGTCTGTTTACTCATTTCACTTCCCTTTTTTAAATTAATTTCTCGGAATTCAGGTGTAAACCCAGAAGATACCAAAGTGTGACTAATGCTCACGTGATGTGACTGATGGATTTTCAAGTCACGTCGAAGAATTATTCATTGTTATACACTTGAATTACATGTTCTTTTGTTCCGAATGTTTGATTCTGGTTTCGATTACATATACTGTGTGTGAGTGTGCATATGTGTGCGTGTATCTTGGGAGAGAGCTTTATATTTATACTTTATCTATAAAAGAATTATTAGCATAATTATCATTTGATATTTAAAACTCCTAGTTAAAAATTTATAAAAATATGTTCCACCTTTAAATTATAATAATTTATTCTAAGAATAAAATGATAATTTATGTATAAATCAGAAAACTATTTAGTTACAAAAATGAAATTTTTTCTTAATTCAAGGTTTGTTTTTTTTTTTTTTTTGGGTGGATAAAAATGAACGAGAGATTTCCCCTCCTTGACTTAGTCATTAGAACTTATGGAGCCACCCTTCACGAAAAAAGGCTTGAGTTTGTCGCCTGTTTACACAACTACTTGATAATAAGTATTTTAAATTTTAAATGCTCTATTTAACTTTTAAAAATGAATAGTTAAACAGCGACTCATATTCAGAATTATATCTAAAAAGTTATTTGACGATAGTTGATTTACAGTATTTTTAAAATAAAAATAAAAGTTAGGTTAGATCTACGGAAGATTTTCAGTGCAAGTATATAAAGATGTCTTCATCAATTTGATAACATTCTTGTCGTTTTCATGTCAAGAAAAGAATTCTGAAGCTAGCGAACAGAGATATTATAAATAACGTGAACATTATCCTGTAAATAAAAATATTATTAAGTATATATGCAATAACTTATGCCAAAATGACCAAAAAAAATTGTTTTTTATTATTATTTAATATCTATATTTTAATAAACAAATCGCTCTTTTTTGTTTCTTTGAGTTATAATTCTTTTATTTATTTTATAATTGTCACGAACTTAAACACATTTAGAGGACAGAAGGATCCGCATTCATCTACTTAATCAAAAACTTATAATAAATACATAAAAAGAAATTTGACGATTACTTATTTATGTAATTTTCTAATAGTTAAATAAAGATAAATAAATCATTATTTATATATTCGTAAGTCTTATCAGATTGATCTATGAAAGTATTTTCTATTCCTCCCATTTTTAGTTTTGGGATTATGATGTAATCCTATAAACAACATTCGCCAGTCTTATGAAATTTAATGATTACTGTAATTTAAAATTAATTAAATCAATTATTATTATTAACACAGTATATTTCGAATTAAACACTTATAAATGTAATTATTTTCGTTAATACTTTATTGGGTTCATTAATGATATACTTTAGTTTATATAAAAATGAATAAACAATTTAATTGGCCGTTTTCTTAAATACATTATTAGAAAATCTATTAGACTCTAATCTGTTTTATATTTTCAGAACAAATGTTTTTAATTGTAAAGTACTCGATTAAAATTATTTTTTATGGACATTTTTATTTGTAAAATACGAAATACATTGCCTGTTTCTTATTTTTTCTCTTTATTTCTTACTTTTAAATTAATTTAAATCATGACTTCACTATTTAACAAATATCATTTATGTATGGGTAGTTAAGTTAAATTACATATAATAAACTAGTAAGCAATATAAATATCTGTTAGCACATTTTATATATCATCGTTTAAAACAGATCTCTTGGATTTTGTATGTAAAACTTGATGGAAATTTGAAAAATCGACTTCGTTTATGAGTACTCCGTAGTATCCCATTTACAAATTGGATCAGATCATCACTGATACAGAAGATCTGATCTAATTTGTAAATGGAATGCCGTTTAATACCCACACCCGAAATAGTTTCTTTGAATATTTTCAATGTTTCGTTGAAAAAATTAGGCCAACTCCATATTCAGGTGTATCTCGAATTGTCTCAATGACACCTTCATCGGGGGGACAAAAGGCTAAAGGTCGCCATTTCTGGTAGGCGTTTGCACCGAAGGGCCCAAGGTCGGATGAACTGTGGCCGTAAAGAAACACCCTTTGACACCAGTGGCAACTAGTATAAATAGAGAGGGCTGCGAACTGTCATCATCACAAATCATCTGATAACTCTAAAGATGTTTAAGGTAAGAACTTCTTATAGTAATCATTTAGTTATATACCAATTATTTATAAGGTTCTCTAATGTTTTAAGAAAAATATTCCATAGGATAAAATTGTTCTTAATGAAAATCTAAACACTTGTTTATTGGATCAAACCATCGAAACTTGTAAATTATTTATACAGCAAAATAATGGATATAATTTCATTACAGCTAACTTTATTTATCTGCTGCGTTTTGGCTATCCAAGCCCAACCCGCTCATCATACACCATACCATGATCAACATGCTTACAGAGTAAGTTATTTATTTCCTTTTGATAAATCTATTGATTGATATAGAAACAACTAGGACAAACAATAAAATAAACCTGCATTAATAATTAGTATAAGGAAGCATTTTAAGTGGTTGAAACTTGAAATCTTTAACATGTAAATCAAAGTCATTATATTTTTATGGGAGTTTCTTCTCCTCCTACTAAGTAAGTTATTCGTCACCACCTTTCTCCTCCCTATTGCTATCGTCCTTGACAGGAAAATATGGGTCAAAATGCAGATGACACCAACGATGGGCGTGATTTACGAAAGTATAACCTTCAAACACACATCCTTTCCTTATTGAAATCAAATAGATATTCTAATCGAAAGATTAAAATCATTTAAAATATTATTAAATATTTATTTTTTTATTTACAAAGCATGCTGATGAACCACCAAAACCTTACGAATTTGCCTACGAAACTGAATTGGATGGTGGCCGAATGGGAAGAAAGGAAACAGGAGACAGTTCCGGACGTGTTGTAGGTTCTTACAGTCTTGCCGAAGATGATGGCCGTTCTAGAGTAGTCGAATACGTAGCTGATGCCGAAGGTTTCAGAGCCAGCGTCAAGACCAACGAACCGGGAACCAAGAGTGAAAACCCAGCCGATGTAGCTTTCTACTCCTCTGCACCAGATATACCTCACGCTCACATCGTCCGTACCCCAACACACCACGCTGCACCTCACCACCCAGTAGCTCACGCTGCTACTCCTCAGAGATTCTACGCTCGTCACCCGGCCTACTACGGACGTTGGTACTATTAAGAAAATGTAAAAAGTATGTTCGAGTGATTCTTGGATGTTAATGATTCGCTAATCGCCTCTATTTTTTTACCTTTTGCTTGCCTGTATGTATTGCCCCAATATTCATGTATAGTGTTTTTGTATTTTTAAATTTGGGAATTTAACTGAAAATTGGTAAAGTACAAAGCATTCAATAAAAGTAAAAGTTATATAACAATTGTCTTTGTCTAATTTTATTTTCGTTTCGAATTGCGAAAATACTCGTATCGCCGATAGCATTATTTAAATTATAAAATTTATGCGCTGAATATCTAAAATATGCAACTATTGTGTGTAGGCTTTTTTCGTGATATCCTCAATCTTCCATTAATATGCAAAAGAATATCTCTTAAGTAATAATTAACATTAACTGCACGTATTTCTATTAATCAAATTCACTTACACGTAAAATTTCTTGTCATCCGTCATTTCCTCAAAAATGGCATTTTTCTCAAAGTGTTTCAAGAAGAATACAAAGTACTGTACGTTCTTCAAAAGAAAATCTTACAGGAAATTTTTGAAGATAATGAGTTAAACTAATAAAATCTATCTAAATTATAGGCTATAATTAAGATAAAAGCATTTTATATGATGAATAAAAATTATTAGATGATATGAGATAGTCATTAAATATTCATATCGCAGGGAGTAAAGATATTTTTAAAGTTAAAAGCTTATTATTATAAATATGTATATATAACTAAGTTTGAATATTTCTCTACATAAACCTGACTTTTTCTAAATGTAATAATATTATCGTAAGTTAGAGAATTCTCAAAAGAAAATACGTTAGATTATTCTTTCTATTATATTTCTTATCACTTATATTCATTCATATCAATGTTTGGAAATTAGATTTAACCTAATTATTTTTATAGGTTCAAATTCTATCTTGAAACAATTTGAAATGGGCATATTATCAAAATATAACATTAAAATTATACATTAATTTTTAATTCCTTTATTATTTAATATATATCTACAGCATACCAGTTGCCTAATGGATAAAACTACTGAGCACTTGTAGTCGCGGGTTTGCTCCTGGTCAACGTGCTGGCCGAGGGGAATTTGTCGGGTTTTCTTCATGTGTCTAACACTTACATAGGGGCCAGTTTCTCGTAGAAAAGCGCTCTTTGCCAGAGCATCCATGTGTTACGTTTCCGTATCCCATCAGACCAACTATATACATCAATAGACAATAATTATTTAAACAGTTTTTCAAAATATAAATAGAGCAATAATAATTAATTTACATCGTCTACGCACAAATCAATATAAAATAAATGATAACAATTTACTTTTAAATTTATAAAATACTAACTCACGAAATTGTGATATATAAAAATGGAAAATGCAAATTAAAGTAATTATTTTTTCTAACCTGTTGTAAACATCATATTTCTTTTTAAAACTTGTTGCAATGACATATAATTTCTCTTTTTACAGTTACAATTTTTTTATTTCCTAGGCATCAAAGTTAAAAGAAAGTTGACCGTTACTGACAGATAATAGATTTAGGACCTCATTCCATAATTTTAAGTTTTAAAAATATTATAGTTTCTTAAATTATTTGCATTATTAAAATTTCCCTCAAGCTACTACGACGAAAATTATAAATGGACTAATAAATAGTAGTGGAGGTTATCTGGAACAAAGACAATCGGACATGTGTCTTAAAGTAGGGCACACGTCCAGCTATGTCCAAAGTGAAAACGCAAGAAAGATGATCCAGGGTCAAGGTAATGCTCCTTTTTGTTTTATTATATCCTGATTCTAGTAATAATTCATATCGAGGAACTTATTAGTATTGCTCCCAGACATTCATAGACCACAGATTCTCTATATAATCGGGCTCATCTCGGATCTTCCTCACTTTGAATATTTCCTTCTTGAGTTTTCATCATGCTGAAGGTAAGTTTCCTCTTACTTTTATTTTACATTTAAACATACAAAAATGATTCGTTTTAATGTAATCTTAATGTATTGTAGGTACTCGTGTTAATTGTATCTCTATCTTCCGTTTGGAGTCAGATAGAAGTTCGGCCTCCTTATAACTATGTATGTATATCTTTTCACTTTTAAAGAACGGGCCTAATATTTTAGGAAATATTAGAATAAATATTGATAGATATTAAATTAGTATATAATAAATTTTATAGTAACTTTTGTTTTGTGTTCATCTTATTATTACGTTATTAGCCAAAACCGTTTTAGCCTATGTTCATATTCTACAACACAAGCTGGGATATTTAATTTACTACACGATTTTATTCAAATTATTAAACTATTTTCCAGCTCAAACCGGACGAAACTCCAAAGCCTTATGAATTTGATTACATTGCCGAAGCTATTGGAGGTGTTAGTACCAGGAAAGAGACAGCAGACGGTTCTGGAAGAGTAGTTGGATTTTATACCATTAAGGAGGACGACGGGCGTTCGAGAGTTGTAGAATACGAAGCTGACGCAGGAGGATTTCGTGCAGTAGTAAAGACAAACGAGCCTGGCGTCGGCAACGAAAGTCCCGCTAGTGTCGAATTATACGCTTCTCCCCCTGACGAATACCTTTATCGTCGTCCAGTTGACAAGCCACCAGTTCGTGTTGCTGAAGTAATACCAAAACCTCCGATTCGTCTTACTGAAGAACCCAAACCCGTCGTCGAAGAAAGGCCTAGAGTCGTATCACCTTATTATCGACCAAGACCTTATTATCGACCACCAAAACCACCAAGACCATACTATTGATAGATCTACTGCTAATGCAATGAAAAATTCATCGAAATAATTTTACGGATTTGAGCTTTATAGCTTAAATGGTTTGGGAAGATAACTAATATATACGTATACATAAGCTAGTAATATAAATTCTGTATATCGATGCTAGCGATATTATATCTACCTGTAATGAAGGCAATATTATATATTGCAAATTTTTTCCAGAATTTAATTATAAACAATACAAAATTGTAAACTGCTAAATAAATTTTTAAAAGTGTTTTAAAATAATTTTCATTTATTTTTTTCTATATACTTAGTAAATTCAATTTTGCAATCGCTGATTTGTTGACGTTTTTCACCTTTCTCATAATAAATTATCGAGTAAAAATTAACATTTGAAAGAAAAAGTAAAATAGGCCATTCCTATGCACGTCAGATAAATGTGTTTACGAGTATGTAACAAATTAAAAGCAGACTAAATGTATAGTTGAATTGAATATTATCGCAAATAGCCTCCTTATCTTTTAATTCATCTCACGATTTCTTCTTCGAAATAAATAACGACCGTGAACTCATTCCGAGATCGATACGATTTGGATTCATTTATTTAGTTCCGGATCGAAGATAACCTTTTGTCATCGATCGTTTCGATTTTCAGGTTTTTCAACTTTAAAAATGAATACAAATGGCTAATTGCCATACAAGAATCCAATTAAAATAAGTTGCTATTTTACAGCTAATTAGCTGCGCGTGAATTTAAAAAAGTGTTTTAAAGTTCATAAATTAAAACTACGATTCGTCTTTTGTTACCTCCTAAAAGAAAAGCACTTAAATATTCTTGTAACAATTAGGGTTTAACATATTAAACTTTTAAATTACATTTTGTTTTTAACTATTCGTTTAATTCCTGTGCTAGTTACCAATTGTTTAAATGATAAACTTTGTTTTCTTGCCTCGGGAGGGACACGAAATCAAATCTGATCCGGTTCTTTTAGCTTTTTCGTGATTTTCATATGATTTTAACTTCTATTTTTCCATACTTATCTTAATTTTATATATTTCTTCTTTACATACTAAAAAAGCAGAATAATTATATGTTATTAAATTGGCTTTAATGATAAGTTCGGATTGTTTTTTTATGCATAAAATTCTAAAATTTGTCGAAAAATCTATGAAACAGTATATTCGAAAGTTATAATACAATAGTAATTTGCATTAAGGAATCGATTTATTCTGATAAAATAACAAGCATACAATAAACGTACAGGAGATGATATATGCTCCTATTTAACCAAAAAATTAAATCAAACATTAAAAAAAACTCATACACGTATAAGGTTTATTAGACCTATCCACCCAAAAGTATAGCATACTCCTTAACACAATACTTAGATACACCACTATATACGTATGTTAATTTGTTATACAAAATAATATTTAAAAAATAAATCATAGTTCAATATAGGCTAAATATAAAATTTTTCAAAAATAAAATGATTAAACTAATTTAAATAAATATAGGTTAATAAGTTTCACTTTTCATTCTAGTAATACGTTTTATCGCGGTATAATGTTTATCCTATAACTAAAGGCGAAATAAATAATAGTTTTACATTGTGTGTTGCATATTAAATATTGAACTAAATTTATGAATTCTTTATAAATGTTACATCTATAAACATGTTTACTTCAAGTTTTATTAAACTTTAATTAAATAGTTACTTTCATTAGTAGATATATTACGAGGTCAAGTGAATATCCTCCATTTAATGGGCATATAAAAAGAACTTTATGAAAATATTTTTCAACCCTTAATGAACATTTGGAAATTCCGTTCATTTGCATATGCTTCAAACATTTCTCAAATAAAGGCGTTTATAAATCTCTCTTTAGTTACGCTATTTTGAAATCACAAATTTCAAATTTTTCTTTAAGTCATTTAAATTTTTTTAATAGTAAAATTATTATATTATATCACATATTAATATANGTTATTTATATAAATATAATAGAATAAAATTGTTTAAATTTCGTAAATATCCTTTTTTTTGTGATTTTACATATTTATTAAATTTATTAAAATTTAATAAATATGTGAAATAATTAATATAAAATATATAAAAAATTAATTCATACATTCATAATATGTTTTAATAACACATCATTTTTATTTTGTATTTTTCATAGTTTTTAATTACAGATTAGATATTTACTTAAGTTTCAACGATGAAAAAACTGAATAGAGTCGTGACGAAATTGCCAATAAATTAATATTAGTATAATTAACGACGATAATTAAATTCGTAAAGAAGAAATGTAATGCCACGGGGCATAGAGTACAAATTATAACTCTGGATGATGCCCTGTAATATTTTATACTTTTGTTTTCTTGGAAACTTCAGCATAAAAATTATGATCGGGAGCAACGCCCACGGTATCACGATTTGTGATTGTTGTCGTGCAACAACTAATCGCCCGAGAGATGCGAAAATTATTGTCTTCCAGTGTACAAATCACGGCGATTGACCTGAAAACAATGCTTAGCCTTTCAAATCTCATAAAATTAAACAATATCTGTTATAAAATATGAATATAAATATTTACAAAGTGTTTTAATTGATATATCAATGCATTTGTTTTTATCTAAAGCTAAATTTTAATATGCCTAAAACCGGACTAATTATGCTAAGATACGTATTATCAGTTACATTTTAATTATATATTTATGTAACAAAAACATAACCAACTTTGAAATGTTATTTCTGTTCGAGTAATAATATCAATTGTCAGTCACGTAAACATTTCTTTTCGTAGCGAGGTTAAAGGACATCAAATGGTAACTTAGCGAACTGCCACACACGATGCATCGTATAAAAACTGTATTTTCATCTGTTAATAATCACTCCACCCATTTTTCTGTCAAGTAGTTTTATTATTCAATAGCCTAGTAGCTGCCTATCCTTCCTTCATATAAAATAACATAATGCGTTTAAACAAATAAGAAAATATGTCAGCAGTTAGACTTATATCTTCCAAAAGTAAAATTTTGATGTATAAAATAAGTAAGACATTAAATTTCATTTTAATTTTCTCGTTCCTTCTCAGAATATTTTAACTTCTACTCCTGTTTTCTGTCATAAAAATTAACATTGAATGACAATTACACAATAACAATAGTTATTATTTAGATGTTACTTTTATTTATTCAACTATAATTTACTTGTCATACTAATATATCATTACTTAAAAATATTTTTTTCTGTTTAACTTATATTTGTATTAAAGAAATTTAATTTTCTATACACTCTTCCACACTTTCAGTATAGGTGTGAATAATAGCGTCGCTTAGAGCATAGAAAGGCCATTTTCTATTAAGATAAATGTCTGGTTTTGTGAAATTTTACGGTGTTAAAATTGAATAATATATCTCATTTTCCGTAAGAAATCAAAGAAGTTAATCGATCTGTTAAAGCAAATATATTGAGGAAATTCAAACCAGCGTGAAATTTCTGCAAACCTGTCTCAAGATAAAAGGTGGATGTACTTAAATTTTGTAAATGATTCTGTAAATAATATGATCAAATTCCTTTTATGGTTTTGTACTTTTTAGTTATTCTATAGATAACAAGTTTTAATGTAATTTAAATTTTTCTAAAATAGTTTTAAGTAAGTACAAAATTCACATGTTAAGTAAATTACACGTTTATGTACTCTATACTTAAATTTTATATTCCACACGATTCTTAAAAGGCTAAACGTGATTTGAAGATTCTTATGCTTTTGTAGCTCGGTCCTTTATTTCTTTTTTGTTTTTATTATGTAGAAATATAAATTTAATTAGTTAGATTTATTTCTTACATTATAATAAAGCGTAACTATTAAGTAAATAAATAAAACTTTCAGTATCGTTGGTATGGAATATTCTAAACATTTTAATAAGTTATGGTCAATGGGTGTCATTCTTGGTGACACCCACCGAGGTCACGTTTCGATTGTTTGCCACACGTGTACGAATAGCATCCATGAACATGATAATGCATACTTCAACAAACGTGTAATTTATAACAACTCTTTCGGAATAATTGTCATTTTTTTAAAATTTCATAATAAAATTTACATTTTATCAATTTATTAAAAGGAAAATGTGTTTAATGTTTTTACTATTATTTTTCAAAAAGTTAATATTTAAAAGAATTAAACTTGAAAATACAAAGACACAAATAATTAATATATATTGAAAAAATGTATATATTTTTATTGATATTTTGCAAAAAATATACAGCAATAACATATATATATAGCAATGCTAAGATACATAAAAGTTATATTGTATAATACCAAGATATCCCCACATTACAAGTACAAGAAGAATTACAGTTCAGACATTTAACAATTTTAAGAAATATAGAAGATATTTAAAACATACAAGACAAAATAAAACAAATTTAAGTAAATGTAGAAAGGCTCAAAGCAATCTAAGCATATCAGACAAGAGCAAGAAACTACATTTATTATTTACCAATGGCGACCATAATAATTATGGCCGTATGGATGATATCCACGATAGCCTAAACCCCCATAAGCTCCGTGATATCCCAGACCGCCGTATCCGTAACCATGCAAGCCACTATATCCATGATGTCCTAAATATCCGTGTGGGTATCCATAACCACGGTGATGAATACCATATTGGTGCAAACCTGCACCGTAGGCGGAAGGTGCAACATTAACAATACTAGCATCACCGGCTGAAGAGATGGTTGGCACATCGGCGGGGCTTTCGCTTTTGGTTCCTGGTTCGTTGGTTTTAACAGTAGCTCTGAATCCAGCTTCGTCGGCTACATAATCTACAACTCTTGATCTTCCATCGATATCAGATAAACTATAGGAACCAACTACGGTACCAGAACCATCAGCGGATTCTTGGCGAGCGCTGGCGCCTCCAATGGCTTCTGCTTGATAAGCGAATTGATATGGTTTAGGTGATTCGTCTACTGGAACAACAGACTGGAGGAAGATATATTTTTATTACATTTTTAAATATTTAAATTTTATTAATAAAAATTAGCCATACTCACTCTGTAATATGGTGAAACTCCGTAATGCCAAGGGTGATGAGGAACTCCAGCCTTTACCACCAATAAGCAACCCAACAATATAATAGCCTAATAATAATAGTTAAAATTTTGAATAATTTACAATTTTCAATTATATAATTGTACAGTACAACACAATTTTCTTACAGTTAAGACCAAGAGCAAATTGCTCTATAAGTTTGTCAATGTAACCATATTGAAGTCTTATTTTTATTTTCTATTTAGCTTATTCTAATAAGAATACTTATTTTTACAATACAAAATGTTCTTACCTTATACATCTTAGCGAATATTGTGTTATTCCAGAGTGGCTTATGCACCTTCAGTTCTACATCAGTATTTATAGTTATTTGAATCGGCTCCTCCCATTAAAGAAAATCAACAAAATTTACAACTGACCCTGATCTCATTGCAACAATACCACCGTCCACCAATTTTTGATGACCTTCAGGATCCTCCTATAGTTTTTTAACTTTGGTATTTCCCTCCTATTTTTGTCCTACTTTGTCCATATATTAATTCGTCCAATGTTTCCAATCCCTCTTGTATGCTAATGAATTAATTATTATCATTACTTCCGTGTTGTCCTTGCTCTTTCTACACAACCAAAGAATTCGAGATAAAATAACATCGCAAACGCCCTTTGTCCAAATATGGTCTGGTAACATAACGGAGATATGAAACATCTAATTTTTTAATATGCTAATTAATCTTGTTAAGAATAGAAAATGTGATTTATTTTTTCAATTAGCAACAATTGACAATTCTGTCAATGTTTGTCTATATCTGAAATAAGAATTTAGAGATAAGACTTCACCTTGTCAAATTTTGAATCCTTCTAATGAAGCAGATAACCATGAAATTTTCCTTTATCAAAAATACATTCTACCTAAATATTTTTATGATTCACGATAATATATCATACAATTTTATTTCTGTATTCATGAATGCATAATGTTTAATACATTAATAGTATTTTTTAAATTTTAACTTTGGGAATTTGAAAATTTTGTCAATACAAATTGCAAATATCCAACTGATAAATTTGTATAAAAATTAAAAATTAAGAAAAAAAAGGTAATTAAAAATTGAAGGGGTTTCCCCTCTTCTTGTAAATATTCAATATTCTAATTAAAGCGGATGTTTATTGTGTTCCTCACGTAGATTTTAGTGATTTATAACATCTTTACAAGTAAAAGATTGAACTAATTCCTTGATCTGTCGCTCTAGCTTCAAGGTCTTAAAAAATTGTCGCTAAGACAAGATTTCTTTTAATAAAGTAACATTGCATTCTTTTTTCCCTTCTTTTCATTTTAAAATTAGCATCCTTGTCTCAAATTCACTTCGGAATTTTATGAATTAGCATGATTGATTTAATCTAATTTTAAACATAATAGTGAATAGGGGATAAAGAAAATCAGTTATAATTCCATAACATCAAAATTACAATGGGATAGGTCATAGAATATTTGAATGAAAGAAAAATTTGCACTTTACTAGAGTATATGGATAAAATATGAGTATTTAGCCTATAACTATTTAAGATAATAATTGGAAAGACAAAATTGTTATATTTTTATGTATATAAATAACAAATTTATCGAAATACTTTAGTCTATTTTAATGGATATTAAATTAAATGTCTGGAATTCTAATAAGTCTATCTTTTAAAAGGAACATCCACCGTTTTGCATATTTTAAGTAAACTTTGACCCCATACGGTTAAAACACCCATCTAGCTATTCTTCTTTCAACGAATTTGTTGCCATGAGATGACAGAACGAGGGATGTCCTCCCTCAGATTCGTATTGTGGTGTTGAGACGAAGGTTGGCTTAACCTCGATACGGTAATTAAACAAATTTTAAGATGTGTGAAAATTAGGCGGATCTGAAGAAGTGCGCTTTGATACATATTTTCATAATCCGGATTCTATTTTTTTATTATAATATCATATAACAAAACAACATAATATAGTGTATGTTATTGAATTACAGTATTTTTTTTTGGTTTGATATTCAAAAATATAGCTGGTTATCATCGTCAAATATATTAAATTNTTTTCCAGCTCAAACCGGACGAAACTCCAAAGCCTTATGAATTTGATTACATTGCCGAAGCTATCGGAGGTGTTAGTACCAGGAAAGAGACAGCAGACGGTTCTGGAAGAGTAGTTGGATTTTATACCATTAAGGAGGACGACGGGCGTTCGAGAGTTGTAGAATACGAAGCTGACGCAGGAGGATTTCGTGCAGTAGTAAAGACAAACGAGCCTGGCGTCGGCAACGAAAGTCCCGCTAGTGTCGAATTATACGCTTCTCCCCCTGACGAATACCTTTATCGTCGTCCAGTTGACAAGCCACCAGTTCGTGTTGCTGAAGTAATACCAAAACCTCCGATTCGTCTTACTGAAGAACCCAAACCCGTCGTCGAAGAAAGGCCTAGAGTCGTATCACCTTATTATCGACCAAGACCTTATTATCGACCACCAAAACCACCAAGACCATACTATTGATAGATCTACTGCTAATGCAATGAAAAATTCATCGAAATAATTTTACGGATTTGAGCTTTATAGCTTAAATGGTTTGGGAAGATAACTAATATATACGTATACATAAGCTAGTAATATAAATTCTGTATATCGATGCTAGCGATATTATATCTACCTGTAATGAAGGCAATATTATATATTGCAAATTTTTTCCAGAATTTAATTATAAACAATACAAAATTGTAAACTGCTAAATAAATTTTTAAAAGTGTTTTAAAATAATTTTCATTTATTTTTTTCTATATACTTAGTAAATTCAATTTTGCAATCGCTGATTTGTTGACGTTTTTCACCTTTCTCATAATAAATTATCGAGTAAAAATTAACATTTGAAAGAAAAAGTAAAATAGGCCATTCCTATGCACGTCAGATAAATGTGTTTACGAGTATGTAACAAATTAAAAGCAGACTAAATGTATAGTTGAATTGAATATTATCGCAAATAGCCTCCTTATCTTTTAATTCATCTCACGATTTCTTCTTCGAAATAAATAACGACCGTGAACTCATTCCGAGATCGATACGATTTGGATTCATTTATTTAGTTCCGGATCGAAGATAACCTTTTGTCATCGATCGTTTCGATTTTCAGGTTTTTCAACTTTAAAAATGAATACAAATGGCTAATTGCCATACAAGAATCCAATTAAAATAAGTTGCTATTTTACAGCTAATTAGCTGCGCGTGAATTTAAAAAAGTGTTTTAAAGTTCATAAATTAAAACTACGATTCGTCTTTTGTTACCTCCTAAAAGAAAAGCACTTAAATATTCTTGTAACAATTAGGGTTTAACATATTAAACTTTTAAATTACATTTTGTTTTTAACTATTCGTTTAATTCCTGTGCTAGTTACCAATTGTTTAAATGATAAACTTTGTTTTCTTGCCTCGGGAGGGACACGAAATCAAATCTGATCCGGTTCTTTTAGCTTTTTCGTGATTTTCATATGATTTTAACTTCTATTTTTCCATACTTATCTTAATTTTATATATTTCTTCTTTACATACTAAAAAAGCAGAATAATTATATGTTATTAAATTGGCTTTAATGATAAGTTCGGATTGTTTTTTATGCATAAAATTCTAAAATTTGTCGAAAAATCTATGAAACAGTATATTCGAAAGTTATAATACAATAGTAATTTGCATTAAGGAATCGATTTATTCTGATAAAATAACAAGCATACAATAAACGTACAGGAGATGATATATGCTCCTATTTAACCAACAAATTAAATCAAACATTAAAAAAAACTCATACACGTATAAGGTTTATTAGACCTATCCACCCAAAAGTATAGCATACTCCTTAACACAATACTTAGATACACCACTATATACGTATGTTAATTTGTTATACAAAATAATATTTAAAAAATAAATCATAGTTCAATATAGGCTAAATATAAAATTTTTCAAAAATAAAATGATTAAACTAATTTAAATAAATATAGGTTAATAAGTTTCACTTTTCATTCTAGTAATACGTTTTATCGCGGTATAATGTTTATCCTATAACTAAAGGCGAAATAAATAATAGTTTTACATTGTGTGTTGCATATTAAATATTGAACTAAATTTATGAATTCTTTATAAATGTTACATCTATAAACATGTTTACTTCAAGTTTTATTAAACTTTAATTAAATAGTTACTTTCATTAGTAGATATATTACGAGGTCAAGTGAATATCCTCCATTTAATGGGCATATAAAAAGAACTTTATGAAAATATTTTTCAACCCTTAATGAACATTTGGAAATTCCGTTCATTTGCATATGCTTCAAACATTTCTCAAATAAAGGCGTTTATAAATCTCTCTTTAGTTACGCTATTTTGAAATCACAAATTTCAAATTTTTCTTTTTAGCAAATCACTATGCCAGTCTAACATGTTTAAAATTTTCAGTTTTTACATTTTTTATAGTGTGAACCAATTTTGCTATGTGAATAAAAATTGCTTTCTGGTTTCATTCATTTTAACTATTTGCTGTTAGTGTGAACTAATTTTAGAATAATTCTTCATTCTTTTGTGAGTAGAGTTTTGCCAGAAGGAAACAATATAGGAGGAGACTATTGAAAAACAAGAAACAAACTAAACTTTCTCAGTTTTTTAAAATTATATGACTTAATTTCATGCTGTTTTACATTTTCTTTTATTTGTTGTTCAACTGTATTATACAGTATATAACTTATAGTAAATTGAAACTTGTTTGTTAAGAATTACACTTAAAATTTCAGTTGTACAGTGTTAATTTGAACCATGCCATACTTTTGCATGACTATATTTGCTCTGAAAACAATTCAAATATTCACTTGTACATTTCTCTCACTTATACAATATTTTTTCAGTTTCTTGAAAAATGTATAAATGGGGTTCAACTGTATGTATGTATATATATAGTAAAAATCTGAATATGAGGTTATAAGTTATTATGGAAAATAAATAACTATATATATATATCTAATATCAAATGATATGAAGGTCACTAAGAAAGTTTTGAGATGCACTTGTGCACTTGTATAAAAATTTGTAGATTAAAGTTAGTGACAGTATTCAGCAATGCCTTCATCCATTGTTTGAAGGAGAGTCCTTATGGGCAGCCCTATAGCTAGCCTTTTTGAGAGTTTATTCTCAGGATATTAGAACAATCTTACTCCCAAGATCAAAGATAACATTTTACTCTATAAAAAATATATAGATGATATGATTATCATTTAGAGCATCAAATCCAAAATTAACAAGTTCATTTGCATGGTCAACAAAAACCATTATGACCTATAATAATAGACAAGATCAATGCACACTTTATTGATCTAGACTTAATGCGTAAAAGAAGTGAAATATACATAGGAGTCTAAGCGAAACCAGCATTTCACTCTATATACCTAAGTACCCAAACAATCCTTTCCAGTACAAAATGGCAGTCTTTATTTAGGAAGTACAAAACTCAGCTACTGGTTTAATGATATAATATATAATACACTAAATCTACTTATATGTTAGTTTCTGACCACTCTCTGCACCACACCCAAACTTTATGCTCTGAATTTCAAAAGATAATATAGTTATCTTGGGTTCAGGAGAATTGTCCTCAATGCTTACCTGTCTGGTGATGAAAGCAGCTTCTCATGAAACTTGATATCTCAGGAGATGAGTCCTGAGTCTAGAGAGAGAGTGAAGAGTTAAGGAGACAGAATGGCTTGAGACAACTGTGAGGTCTTCCTGTTTTGGCCTTAAGAGAGCCAATACAGGAAGGACCCCTTAAGCTCAATTTTTGGCTACTTCCATTAATCATTCACTTTCCAATCAGAATGTTTCCTCATATCTGACATCAGAAGTGAGAGGCCACTTCAGACTGAAGATGGCTCACCCTTTTCTAAGAGTTCGTTTCTGTTCTTCCTTCACTTACCAGATTACTTTTTATCTTTCAGATAGTATATTGTCTTACTTTGAAATTCCTCTGGATGCAGAAATGCAGCATTACTCCACTAAGGTGATGAGTCAGTTGATTCTGCCTATTATGTTTCGGATATTAGAGTGCATGACTCACTCCCATCTTTACATTTCTTAAAATATGTTGAAATTTGTTATAAAATTATATAGTTTGAGTTATATTAATATGAACAATATAATTTTATTAGTGGAAATATATGAAATTTCAAAAATATTTAATAAAAAATAAAATTGATAATATGACAAAAGAAGACATTTTATTTTTAAATAGTGTAAACAAATAACAAATGAATAGTTATAAAGTTAAAAACTAAACAAATGGCACTTAAAGTGTTTATTCACATGCCATTTTATTTTACACGCATTCAGTTCAGTGTTAAAATTTATCTTATAGAAAATATATATACATATACAGTAATACCCCGAACTTACGCGATAGGTGGGACCGGGCGATAACTGCGTAAGTCGTAAGTTGGGGTATAATTTTGCGGTTTGTGTAAAATCCAAGTCGGATGTATGTAAGCTAATAAATGTTCTCATTAATCGTATCTCGTCTTTTGATTCGTTCACGGTTACAAGAAATCACTACATAGAGTCTCTCAAGTTTCCGTAGATATAACAAACACAGAAATAAATAACACAAAATAAATTGTAGCTATGTGTCAATTCGGTGCGACACATTCGAACATGTAAGCTGAACAATAGTGGGGGGGGGAGTGAGTAATCGAGAGTTGTGTGGTGCTCAAACAAAAGATGAATCGATGAGATTTGAAAATCGCGTAACTCCGGGTTCACGTAAGTTGAGGTATTACTGTACAGTAAAGCATCGATTATCCAAAATGTCTGTTAACCAAAAGCGTTTCGGTTAGACTGTGTCGTGCTGAATTGAACGTTTTTGATACTAGATTAACTTCTAAAGTGTAATTTTTTTTGTTTTTATATTTTTCAATGTATTTATTTTGCTTGTACAAAATATAGAAATAATTTTTAACAATACAATAGCCACAATTATTATTATAAAAATTTTCATTAGGCTTAACATTGACGAAAATTCAACACGAAGCGACATGCAACAGAGAAAAATTTAAACATGAGATATATTAATATATTATTATTGGGATATACTAATATGCTATATTAATAATGTATTTTTTCGTACATAATTGGTTATCCGAAAAATTTATTTTCCAAACAACCCAGTCCCCAATTGATTCAGATAATTGACGCTCTACTGTATCTGATATTTTGAGATTTTTATTTTTTTGGTAATGTAATCTCATTCCACTGGACTATTTACTCTTTTGGTAAGAAATCTGCTTTCATTCAAACATTTCATGTCAGTGAGGACAACTTATTTTTATATATATATTTGAAAAGTTTTATTGCTATGAATTTTTATTGTACATTTGATTTTAATATTAAATGATTTATTAGGTTAAGAAAAATTGGAACATCAATTTTACTTATTGACTAATGTTATCAATTTAATTTTCAGTATGGTATTGCAAGGTTAAGTGGTCGTTACCGTAAAAAAGTTATAGAAATAACAGATCAAAGAGTGAGTTAATTTTGTTAATATTCTGAGAGATTGATTTTTCAAAGACTGAATTATATTTAAATTAAATTTATCATAATAAATATAATTGTTACTTTCGTGCTTTAGAATTAATAGAAATATCAAAAAACCTTAAATAGTTAAATTCAGACAACACAAAATGCTGCTAAATATTGCAGGTTACTGCTCTATTTTATTGCAGTAAAATATTCTTTAAGGTAATATGCATTTGATCATCAGATCAACAAAAATGTTTGAAGAACAAGATTTCATCAATTGGTTTAAATTCAAAACCTTAAACATTCTAATCACAAGCTGAATTTAAAGAGTTAGCTAATAAATTTTAAAATATGGTAAAACCTCACTAATTCAGAATTCATAGTAATTCAGACTACTATTTTGCATTGTGTATTTTTTAAAATAATAAATTTGTTGATTCTAATCTCAACTTTAACAATAATTACCTTACTCCTAGACAAATGTGTCAGTATATGATTGAGGAACAGTTAGAAAAGGAATTTCAAATGATAATGAGCTTTAATTTATCACACTACAGCTTTTTTTGCTGAGATAGTTTTATTGAAAAACTAATATTTTCGGCCTACTCTATAGGCCATCCTGAAAATGAACTTTTTATTTTCAAGCTAAAATTAGTAGATGCTGGCAATGACAAGAATAATGCTACTACTACTATTGCATATGAAAAATTTATCATATCATTGTATTTGTTAAAGTTCACAGTAAAATTTGACTTTAGATAAAGTGTACTTTTCAGACCCATATAATATGCATTTGAGTAATAACCTTGCTAATTCAGACTTTCACTAATTTAAACTAGGTTTTCCCCTAATTAGTCTGAATTAGTAAGGTTCTACTGTATTTGTTACTTTACACTCAACTGAAAGCTACTTGTGTAGCAGAAATGTAAAGTAAATAATTTACAAATGCTTTTTTTTTTTATTACAGTTTGGCTAATTTAGTATGCTACTTTTTAAACTTTATACAAAATGTATATAGTGAATAAATTTTAANTGTATATATTTTTATTGATATTTTGCAAAAAATATACAGCAATAACATATATATATAGCAATGCTAAGATACATAAAAGTTATATTGTATAATACCAAGATATCCCCACATTACAAGTACAAGAAGAATTACAGTTCAGACATTTAACAATTTTAAGAAATATAGAAGATATTTAAAACATACAAGACAAAATAAAACAAATTTAAGTAAATGTAGAAAGGCTCAAAGCAATCTAAGCATATCAGACAAGAGCAAGAAACTACATTTATTATTTACCAATGGCGACCATAATAATTATGGCCGTATGGATGATATCCACGATAGCCTAAACCCCCATAAGCTCCGTGATATCCCAGACCGCCGTATCCGTAACCATGCAAGCCACTATATCCATGATGTCCTAAATATCCGTGTGGGTATCCATAACCACGGTGATGAATACCATATTGGTGCAAACCTGCACCGTAGGCGGAAGGTGCAACATTAACAATACTAGCATCACCGGCTGAAGAGATGGTTGGCACATCGGCGGGGCTTTCGCTTTTGGTTCCTGGTTCGTTGGTTTTAACAGTAGCTCTGAATCCAGCTTCGTCGGCTACATAATCTACAACTCTTGATCTTCCATCGATATCAGATAAACTATAGGAACCAACTACGGTACCAGAACCATCAGCGGATTCTTGGCGAGCGCTGGCGCCTCCAATGGCTTCTGCTTGATAAGCGAATTGATATGGTTTAGGTGATTCGTCTACTGGAACAACAGACTGGAGGAAGATATATTTTTATTACATTTTTAAATATTTAAATTTTATTAATAAAAATTAGCCATACTCACTCTGTAATATGGTGAAACTCCGTAATGCCAAGGGTGATGAGGAACTCCAGCCTTTACCACCAATAAGCAACCCAACAATATAATAGCCTAATAATAATAGTTAAAATTTTGAATAATTTACAATTTTCAATTATATAATTGTACAGTACAACACAATTTTCTTACAGTTAAGACCAAGAGCAAATTGCTCTATAAGTTTGTCAATGTAACCATATTGAAGTCTTATTTTTATTTTCTATTTAGCTTATTCTAATAAGAATACTTATTTTTACAATACAAAATGTTCTTACCTTATACATCTTAGCGAATATTGTGTTATTCCAGAGTGGCTTATGCACCTTCAGTTCTACATCAGTATTTATAGTTATTTGAATCGGCTCCTCCCATTAAAGAAAATCAACAAAATTTACAACTGACCCTGATCTCATTGCAACAATACCACCGTCCACCAATTTTTGATGACCTTCAGGATCCTCCTATAGTTTTTTAACTTTGGTATTTCCCTCCTATTTTTGTCCTACTTTGTCCATATATTAATTCGTCCAATGTTTCCAATCCCTCTTGTATGCTAATGAATTAATTATTATCATTACTTCCGTGTTGTCCTTGCTCTTTCTACACAACCAAAGAATTCGAGATAAAATAACATCGCAAACGCCCTTTGTCCAAATATGGTCTGGTAACATAACGGAGATATGAAACATCTAATTTTTTAATATGCTAATTAATCTTGTTAAGAATAGAAAATGTGATTTATTTTTTCAATTAGCAACAATTGACAATTCTGTCAATGTTTGTCTATATCTGAAATAAGAATTTAGAGATAAGACTTCACCTTGTCAAATTTTGAATCCTTCTAATGAAGCAGATAACCATGAAATTTTCCTTTATCAAAAATACATTCTACCTAAATATTTTTATGATTCACGATAATATATCATACAATTTTATTTCTGTATTCATGAATGCATAATGTTTAATACATTAATAGTATTTTTTAAATTTTAACTTTGGGAATTTGAAAATTTTGTCAATACAAATTGCAAATATCCAACTGATAAATTTGTATAAAAATTAAAAATTAAGAAAAAAAAGGTAATTAAAAATTGAAGGGGTTTCCCCTCTTCTTGTAAATATTCAATATTCTAATTAAAGCGGATGTTTATTGTGTTCCTCACGTAGATTTTAGTGATTTATAACATCTTTACAAGTAAAAGATTGAACTAATTCCTTGATCTGTCGCTCTAGCTTCAAGGTCTTAAAAAATTGTCGCTAAGACAAGATTTCTTTTAATAAAGTAACATTGCATTCTTTTTTCCCTTCTTTTCATTTTAAAATTAGCATCCTTGTCTCAAATTCACTTCGGAATTTTATGAATTAGCATGATTGATTTAATCTAATTTTAAACATAATAGTGAATAGGGGATAAAGAAAATCAGTTATAATTCCATAACATCAAAATTACAATGGGATAGGTCATAGAATATTTGAATGAAAGAAAAATTTGCACTTTACTAGAGTATATGGATAAAATATGAGTATTTAGCCTATAACTATTTAAGATAATAATTGGAAAGACAAAATTGTTATATTTTTATGTATATAAATAACAAATTTATCGAAATACTTTAGTCTATTTTAATGGATATTAAATTAAATGTCTGGAATTCTAATAAGTCTATCTTTTAAAAGGAACATCCACCGTTTTGCATATTTTAAGTAAACTTTGACCCCATACGGTTAAAACACCCATCTAGCTATTCTTCTTTCAACGAATTTGTTGCCATGAGATGACAGAACGAGGGATGTCCTCCCTCAGATTCGTATTGTGGTGTTGAGACGAAGGTTGGCTTAACCTCGATACGGTAATTAAACAAATTTTAAGATGTGTGAAAATTAGGCGGATCTGAAGAAGTGCGCTTTGATACATATTTTCATAATCCGGATTCTATTTTTTTATTATAATATCATATAACAAAACAACATAATATAGTGTATGTTATTGAATTACAGTATCTTTTTGGTTTGATATTCAAAAATATAGCTGGTTATCATTGTCAAATATATTAAATTCTTCATCTTTGCTTAACTGAAATATATTTTATAATTATATTTCTCTATAATTTATAATAAATGATATTTTAACGCTTGTATAAATTTAATAACTTTCTATATGTAAACTCATTTTTTAAAAAAATAAAATAAAATAACTAAATATATACATATTATTTTACATTAATAATTTATTTAAAATCTAAATCAAGGATAAGAAAAGGATCCAGTGAAAGAAAGCTTATGAATTTAGAATAGTTTCATTTATTCTTATAGTCAAGAATTAATCGTTATTAATTATATATGATAATCACATTTTATAATACAGATTACTATGAATAATTATCGAATTTAAAATTATTATATTTAATTATAGGAGTCAAGAAAGATTTCCGAAATATAAATTTGATATTGATAAATATGCATTTTAATTTTATTAAAAAATTTTTTAAATTTAATATAAATACGATAAATTCTTTTTGTGGTATTGAACCGAAAACGGTTTCTTTCAATACAGATATTTTCTCCCTAAAGTATTGAATTTAATGTAATTAATTTCTACTTAAGTTGTTTTAATAAAATAATCGTGGAAGTAATGATAATTCTGTATGCAATTTTTCTAGAATGAATATAATACTAGTATAAAATTTATAAATATAATTTTACTTTTGATATAAAAAATAACTACGAAAATACAAATCAAGTACGAAGAAAATGTGATTTAAATTTTTTCATTATCCCAATACAAGAAATTTCATTTTAGATCACAAAGTATATAATATGTCTAGAATATAAGTCTATATACAAGTGTATAATATACACTTGTATATAAAAATTATGACCTATGCAATGCAAATTAATAGCTTATATCTCAGTAATATATTATATTACTGAGATATAAGCTACTCATTTGCATTGAAACATATACAGCCCTATCATATATATTTCACTACAAATTAGCATACGACAATTATTAACAAAATATACAAATGTATTTAAAATAAAGAATTTAAGTTTTTATAATAATTTTATAAATTTATTATAATTTTTCAACCTGACTAATTATTATTTCATTTCTACTTGTACTATTGAATGTCTTCATTTTGTTTAGCTGTTAATAAAGAAACAAGGGAAAACAACATTACTAAGTCTAATAACTTTCCTTAAATTAAAACGACAAGTATATTTTAGTTGATTTTTTGCAAAATTTTGTCTCATATGAAGATTTATATCAGAATGTTTCTCTATTTATCAAGGAAGTGTTCGAGAAAACTAGTATTTCGCCAGTTTTTCATACGTTTAGAATCCTCTGCTATTCAGTAAAGGTTGAACGACACTGTTCTAGACCCTAATTTATGTCCTCGTGTATTAACAATGTTATCTAAAAATAAAAGTAGAAATATTTTTTTTATTTCAAATAAAATGAGAAGAAAATCATGCGCTAAAGAAAAACTATATATTTATAGAGATGAACGATGAGACTTTTTGAAAAATTTTATTTCTGCTTTTATCTCGTTGAATGCCAGCTTATGTTAGAAGAGATTTTGCGAAGCAAATCTAATGGACTATAATAGGCAGACATCAATTTTGTTCGTTATGGGCGGTGTTTTTGAACATGTCACAGTTAATAGGATTTTAAATAATTTGCATGAACTACTGCATTTTAAACACAATATTTTACGCAATAAATATGAATAGGATATATATTTTTTTAAAGTTTAGGACTGAATGAATACTAGAAGTACTGTACTTTTAAAATAAAACAAAAACATAACATATATTTAAATCTAAAAGAGATTGACTGCAACAAATAATTCATATAATTGTTTTTTATTTAAACATTTAATATAAATGTACAGAAATAAAGCTTATCAAGAGCAGAAGAAACCTAAACCTAAGAGTATACATAAAGGAGAAATTGCTTAAGAAGGTATACACATATTGACGTATTTATGATTAAATATATCTATTCAAATATCCGTGTGGGTGGCCATAGGTATATGGATGATATCCACCGTAACCGTAATGGCCTGCGTGACCGGGAGCGTATGCACCGTAATAACCCAAAGCGCCGTAGCGACCAGCGTGACCATAAAGCCCATAGCGACCAGCGTGACCATAAAGCCCATAGCGACCATCGTGACCATGAAGTCCATAACGGCCGGCATATCCATATCCTAAGCTACCATAGTTGTATGGATAACGATGACCGACATGGGATCCGTAACGAAGAGGATGACTGTAAGTAGCGGGAGCTACGTGAGTAATTGAGGTGTCGGTGGCATCAGAAACAGTCGCTACATCGGCAGGACTTTCGTTTTTGGTTCCTGGTTCGTTTGTCTTAACGCTAGCTCTGAATCCGGCTGCATCGGCTACGTAATCTACCACACGAGCTCTTCCGTCTTCATCAGATAAGCTGTAAGAACCTACAACTGTACCAGCACCATCGGCAGTTTCTTGACGAGAACTGACACCTCCAATTGCTTCTGCTTGGTAAGAGAATTGATAAGGTTTGGGTGTTTCATCTATCGCCTAAGAATGACAATTATGATCATATTATATACCAAAATATCAATAAAAGCATACACAGTCTATACATGTAGTAAAATTCTTACAGTCTGAAGAGCAAGGGTTCCATAAGGGTGAACAGGAAGAGGTTCTGCTCTTACAGCAATAGCAAGACCCAGAAGTAAAATGATCTAAATCGAAACGAATTTAGTTAGTATATAAAAATTATAACTAAACGAAAAAGTTAATAAGTAAATTACTTACTCTGTACATATTGCTAAGTGAATTTAGTTCACTGTGGCCATCATAGGAAAACCTCTCCTATTTATATAGATTTGATCCACCCTCTCTCCTGTCAAATTCTGAATGTGAATCGCGATTTATCGCTTAACCTTGAACTCATTGTGACAATAGTGACATCGGCTGATTTCAGATGAACTTCAATGTCCATCTTACAATTTTTTTTTTTAAATAACTACCGATGTTTCCTAGGGATTTCCCGCATTCAATTGGTCTACTTTTGAACCAATTATTATTGTTTCAATGCTGATTTTATGTAAATAAGCAATTCATATAAATGAAGTCTTCCCAGTTAATTTACTTATCTGACATGAAATAAACATCACTAAAATAATAAGTCTATACAATTATTTTTATAAAATAAAGAAAGCTTCCATGTAAATACCCTTAAAAATGTAGTAATGATCGGCGTATTTTTATTTAAAAAACAATAATGAGATACCTTTAAGATTACAATTTTAAATTTTCACTTTCGTTGACGTTTAAGGTTAGAAGTCGTGTTAAAACTCAGTTGTAAGTGATTATAAATATAAAGCACAGGTCAATTATATGTTTATGAAATGATTTTATTGAATGAAATACATAGCTCTAATATAATTAAGCTTATGAACAAATGAAACATGCTAAAACGCATTATGTAGCCTATAGTACAGAATATCTACACATATTAATTTGCAAGCCTGCACAGAATCGAATGAAAACAACAAAAAAACATAAATATAAACTCTAATACTATAGTACTATGCACAGTATCGCGTTATAGCCTCATAGGACCTACGCAAATTTGAATTAGGTCCCCATGTACAGTACACTGTATAGTGTTGATTTCAAATATTTTACTTCGAGGGATTTTTTGGGGGGAAATTTTTCTTATAAAAGACTGGTTTGAGGTCCATTAGGCAGTTGCCCTTTCTGCCCGTAGGATAACGCGCCACTGACTATGCATATATATAAAAATATAAAATTTATGCCAATTATTCATATATTCGCATTTATGTTAATAAAGCATTTTTCAAAATATCCAGAAATGTTTTACGGAACTCTAAACTTCTCGATAAAGCCTTAGAGAAAGCATTATTAAGTCCTTGAAATTCAACCGTATAACAATTTTTTCCGACTTTTGTAGATAAAGATGATAGAATTACGAGAATGCAAGAGAATGATAAATAATTCCGCCTCCACACCCAATTCTAACGAGAATTACAAGCAGCATGAATATTAAACAACTGATAAGGGGGGAATCATGCTCCAATTTTTAAAAATGAGAAACTCCCGATAAATCCACTAAAAATTTTTTTAGAATGGAAATTTGCCAAAATTGAAAACATCCTGAATATTGATTGCATCATGCAGGATGTTAANTTTTATACTTAAACTTTCTATATTTATAATAAAAACTAGGATTATAACAAAAATGAATTATCTTGAAGGAGCAGAAGAGCGACATCTCATGAATACAGAACAAGAGTTTTTCTATTCTGAAGACAGATTAATGATCTGTAGTGAATTAAAACATTCTAGTAACAAGTTTTAGTTTATAATGATTAATAAGTATAATATAAACATTTATTAACTTGTACGTTAGATATAATAAATACATTTAACAGTAAGTTATCTTAAAAAAAAAGAGCGTGTTTAATTGTTAATATTTTAATAATACACATGAAAGAGTTAGAGTAAAACGGTAGTTTATTATTAAATTCGTACGCAACTTCACTTTCGTTTAATATAATAATATATTAATGATTCGTACTGTCTTTCTTAAAGATGATAATGAAAAATGGAAAGTAGGAAGTACGTAATGAAAAATATTCCGGCCTTGACAAGTCTCATTGTTTGCCTTTTTGGCAACATGTCAAGGTTAATGAATTGTCGTTTATCTCTTTTACGGATAATCGGACAGTAGAAAATGCCTTGAAATTTTCTTCATTTAACCATTTCCCTCCCCCATTTTTAATTTCCTTCTTTTAAAGTAAGGATCAATAGATTATTCTTAATCTTCATGGTAATTTTTTTTAATTATAGACTTTTATATTTCGAGAAAAAACATAAATTACAAACGATTTTATAATTTATTGTCTGCTCTTAAGAATTTGTTCACGATCTTAATGTAGACGTCAATCCATTTTAAATTGATTGTGGATACTCATGTGCGTGTTTATAGATAATTTGGCCTACATGTAAGAAGATATAGTATCTATTGTTTATAGTGAAAATTAATAATGGTTCGATTCTTAGCTTCTGAGTAAAATATTAAAAGAAATTCGGGCTAATCTTTTATATCTGCGAATATTTTATGTGAATATGAGGCCATTAATACTCAAAAACATTTTAAAAATCAAAACTATCTACGAATTTAATCTCATAGCGGGTCCGCAATTGTTTGTTTTAATGTATTCTATTGTTCGAAGTACTCTTAATAAATATTTCAGTCTTTCCTTGATTAGTACTTTCAAAATTAATTTCTAAGATAATTATAATGGCCCAATATCTGTTTCATAATATTAAATATTTATTTTAATAGTGATGAACAGGTCTGTGGGAATTATATAAATCTACATATAATTAGTTATTATAATTTAAATATAAGGAAATCCAATATTTTTATTTAACAAACACAAAAATAAAATCTATAACGTTTCATTCATCTTAAATAAATGATTTTGTTTAGTTAAATGATGAATAAATTTGGTAATTTAGAAATTATAGTAGCCGTAAACTAAATGTACACAGGGGGGAGAAATAACGAGGAAGGAGCAGAGGGGGACATATTTTCTTGGGTGATAAATAAGGAAGAACATTATAAATAGTGAATGATATAAAAAATTCAACAAAAGTTAAATATTATGCTAATCTTAATATTCAAAATATTAAAAACTGCTTTATTCGTCATCACTAAATATTGTTGAAACAGGTATAGTTATTCTATACGTATAGGCCTATATTGTGTCCCCGGGCGCCGCAACCCCACGACACACCTCTGATTATAGAGCAGTACATTACTAATCTTCAGAAATAAGATTAATTGTATTTCTCTCTAAATAAATGAAGACTGAGCAAATCTTTAAGCCTCCATATTTAAATGGCCATCAATATAATATAACTATTAAAATTTCAACAGACAGGCAAATCAGTTTAGATCAAAAAAAGTAAAAATAATTATCCCATTAAATTAAATAAAACAATAATTTTATTATTTATAATCGTTACGAATGGCCAAATATATTTGAAGCGTAAAACTTTTGTAAACATTAATTAAATATTACTATAAATAATCAAAAAATCGATATTATGCGTTTTAAATACTCACATAGTTAACAGCTTAACATTTTAATTGTATTTATTTCATAAGCATACAGGAAAAGTATAACAGAAATACATTCATTATAACTTTATAAACTCGAATGTCATCCATAAAACATCTTTTACTTTGATTTATAGTAGTATATCACACGCCGATCAAGGAAAATAAACAAATTTTAAAACTCGAAGCGAAAAATTCTATAGAGAACGAATATTGGTCGATTTTAAGTGGGCGTGTTTAATTATACAAAAACTAGTTCTATTAGTGCAAAACGTTTTTGATAAGCAAACGAAACGACCAATCGTTGAATGACACGAACCAAGCGCATAATGTTATGTTTTTAATTGTAAATGCTTATCATTCGCTTTTAGAAATAGGTCAAACATCAAATTTTTTCGGTCATTTATGTCCTTGTTATATTATTGCGTGGAATCATTTTTATAAAAGAATGAATTCTTAAAGTGTTTATTCCATTTATAACTCGCTTGCTACATTTCACTTTAATGAGTAAGCTAGAAATTACAAAGAAAGAAAAAAATGATTTCGCTAGTCTGAATTTATCGTCGCCTTTACTGAGAATTTCTTTGAGGCATACCGTTCCTCATTCTATTGCAGTTTAATTTAACATAGTATTCAAAATTAATTATAGACTATATATATATATATATTTAAGTATAATACTATTCTAAACATTTTAATAAGTTATGGTCAATGGGTGTCATTCTTGGTGACACCCACCGAGGTCACGTTTCGATTGTTTGCCACACGTGTACGAATAGCATCCATGAACATGATAATGCATACTTCAACAAACGTNTATAAAATAATAAAAATAATTATTTCAATGTTTAGAATAACAATTATAATCCATATATAAGAATATTTTTAATCTAAAATAATTAATAAAAAAGAAAACTTTTTATTATAAATTCTATATTTATATCAAAAGTCTCATTAAAAATTATTTCGAGTTTTCTTAAAGATAAATTAATAATAACTACAATAATAATTGAGAAAAATTATTAATTTACAGTGCCATCTGTCGGTGATAAAAGTAATTATTTCATTTATTTTTATCAAAATTTAAATCACAAATTCTTAATATCTGCGTCTTTATATAAAAAAATATTAAAATTAAACTAAAACATGTACTAAATACAACTAGAATATAGTTTAAATAAATAACCAGAAATCAGATTATAATGAACCAGAAAAGAAGAATATTAAGGCTATTTTCTTGTTTGATGATATAGTAAACCAGAGCTTTATTTTATCATCTTTGACTTTTTTTGCATAAGATAGAAGCCATTGTTTATTTTCATAATATGTAGAAACAAATGGTTTAATTTATATATTTCAGGAGGCTTGTGAATTTGAACTAATAGTAGAAACTTTAGGAAAACGTAAGCAATGACTCTCGCTATCTACAGATTCCTTGTATAGTTATAATTTTTTGATAGCATTCTTAATGGTTAGAGTGCTTAATAATTGGTGTTATGTCTGGCTTACTCCAAGGTCGGGATTCGCATGTTCTTTTTGTTGTTTCGAGACCTAAAATTCGACCATTCTTCGTTTTGAATATTTATAAATTCTACTGTTTGTCTGAACGTATGGACTTTGTTTCAAAAATCGTTTCGTTTCCAAATAAGTAGAAATTTTCTTTATTGATTGTACCAAAATAAAATCTGAAAAAATTAAGTTTCTTTTTTCGGAAATATTTTGGTCTTTTGTTGAATTAATTTTGGCTTATTCTTCGATGGATGGAATATTCTTGGAGTCATAAATAGGCTTACCAGATGTCCCGGTTTTCCGGAATTGTCCAAGGTTTTTCCCGACTGTCATCTAAAAACAGGACTATATTTAAAAAAACTGTTTCTACAATGAAGTTATTAAATCATTAAGCATATTAAATGTATTTATGTCACTGGTAGATTAAAAATACATATCCTGCATGTTATGGATTTCTTTCCGGAAGGACTCATTTTGTCCCGGATTTTGTCTCCAAGAACATGGCAACTAGGGTTTCTCAAACGGGATTCCGGGATCCCGGTTGTTTTTTTAACTCGGGAAATATCCCGGGAAATTTTTCTTATCCCGGGAAATCCCGCAAATTTCTTAAAAATTCACTTTTTTTCTTATTTTATGTTAAGGTTGAGGAATTTTGCAAATAGAAAGCATAATTAACTCATTCACTGTCAGAATACATTTGTATTTATTAATTTTAAACCTACCTATTAGTTTTTTT